TCTCTCTCTCTGTTTCTTAACAGATTCTTGTTGTGTAGCCCAGACTGCTTTATATTCATGTAATTCTCCCATCTCAACCTCTCAATAACAAGTTCTTCGGGCTTAGCTGGGATTACACACGTCCCCCATGAAGCCCAGTTTGAAATTCTTCTTAATATTTTATCTCTGAACTAGGTATACTTTTATTTGACTCAATAAATACTTGAGTGACTGAGTAAACCCGAGAGGGACTACACACTGAGCCTTAGTGGGAACCTTGGAAGTGGTTGCTCAGTTCGGTGCCCGTGGATAAAAGTGATGCTCAGTTTTCTTCTAGATTCAGATGTTAGATTCCCATCCTGCAAGCATCAAGGCCCCCGGGAAGCTCCCAAGGCAGGACCATGTGAATGAGACTGATGACCTGTCTGGGGTTCCAAAGGGCCTAGATTGGCTTAGTTGTGTGAGAGAGAAACCTGACACTGTCTTGCTTTGGCAAGTAGCGAGTTGGTAACACAGTCCTGTAAATGAGCACAGACCGGGTTCAAGCAACAAATAGCCTTGGACTTGAACCCTGACTCAGCACACAGCAGCTTGCGAAGCGAGCAGAACTGTGTCTTTGAGACTGTCTCACAGGTGCTGGGGAATGCAATAACCTAATGCACGTGACTTCACCAGTGCTGGGCATATCAGAAGAGCTGCCTAACTGTGCTGTTGTGGTTTCCAGTTGTCTTTGTCATTTAATAGCAATTGCGTGGCCTTGGCTGGCTGGCTTCCTTCAGTTTTAAGATCATCATCATTCTTTTTTTTTTTTTTTTTTTTTTTTTTTGACACTCTGACCTCTGCTTTCTCCAGCTCCAGGATGCAATGATCAAGGGACTCTTAGGTTCCATCTACTGTGGGATTCACTAAAACATTTCCATGGGAAGAGCAAGAGTCACTTCTCTTTGCAGCCAGGCTCAATCGGACTTGTCCTGGAAGATAAGCAACGATGACACAAAGGAGGGGAGAGTCCAGCGCAGTCTGGCTTGGCCCTTCCTGGAATCTCGCACTTTTGGGTGGGACTGGATGTTCCCTGAGCACCACATCACGTACATCGGGCCTTATGAGAAGGATGGCAGGAGAGGAGCCAGGGGAGCAGGGTGACTTGGACTTTCTTTCTTGGAAAGGCGATATTGTTGGCAAGACTTAGGTCTTGCTTCATAGATGGACAGGGAGGAGGACTGGGCAGGGGGAACTGGGGTTGAGCTGCGCCCTCTCTGGAAGTTGGGTCTGAGAACATTGATTCTAGAACGGTGGTTCCAACTTCAGCCCACACTTGCCTTCTCTGAGGTTGTGGATGGTCCTCCTGATGTTTGGAGATCTGTCATTAATCTGGTATGTGTGCAAACTGAATCCATTGGGGTGTGAGAGAAAGTTGAAGATGCATGAAAGTAGGAGAGCTGAGGACAAAGGGTAGAGGTGCCTTGGGCAGTAGAATTCTATCCAGAGGAGCAACAGAAACCCTCAGATAACAGTGTTTAAGTAAAGGTTTATTTGTCTCTCCTGTAAAGTGTTGGAGAAGGAGACCAAGGTTGTGATGATGGCATCACAACTCATCAGTGAGTACATTCCTATAGAATACCTCTGTCATCCTCAATATCTCCTTCTTGTAGTTCAGAAAGGTGACTCGTGTGTGTGTGTGTGTGTGGTCAAATATACATTCCAGCCAACTAGAAAAAGAGAGGAAGGAAGAAAGAAACAAGTTTTCTCTTTTAGAACATTTCCTAGAAATTGAACACTTTGCTTCAGTGCCTATCCCATGGACTAATATTTGGGTATCTGGCTACAAGCAGCCGCAGAGGACCTGGAAAGTGTGTTCTTATTCCGAGTGAAACATGTCCGGCTAACTTTTGTGTGTAATGAAAGGAGAAATGGTGGTTGGGAGACGTATGGGAGGGCACACACCACTTCCTACCACACCGTGAAAACAAGGATAGACACTCTAGACTGATGTTCCTAGAGTAGCTCGGCTCAGTTTTGTCTTGAGGCTTAGGCGAGCCACTCCAACCTGCTTGGCATCTTAATCTCGCCAGAGGCCAGCTGTGCAACGCTGGGCACATTGTTTAGTCTCTCTGAACACACACCAGTTTCCCCTTCTGTAAGTAATAAAACAGTAACTGCCTCAGACAATTGTCCATAGAAGCAAAGGAGAGGTCCCCTTGCGCAGTTGTGGGCTCCTACACACGCCAGTGATCACTCTGCTGGCTGGATCAGAGCCTCCCAATGACGTCCTTTTCCTTTGGCTCACTTTGAAATGGGATTTCTAGCCATCATTATTCTGTGGGCATTACCCACGCCCTTCAGAAAGGTCATCATTTTCTCCTTGGATTAATCTCTTGCTTCAATTTTGAGTACTTCTGAAAGCCAAAATTTCCTGGATGGAAAGGAGCCCTGATGTTTCTAAAGAAATAACACACACAATAGAAAATATTACTGCATTCTCTTTGCAGGATTGCTTAACTCTCTCGAATACACATTTAATTTAGGCTTGCTGAAGTAGTTATTGTCCATTCACCAGTAAGTGCTTATGAAACGCATGTTGGTAGGGCATGGTACAGCCAGGGAGTGCCAAGAGCAGCTAGCCCCCACTCAAGTTTCTCTTCCACCTAATTACTCATGCTGGTACCTCTCCAAAAGGATTGTCAGGACTGCTATTTGCCTGATGGAGGGAGGATGCCTAACACTAGTCCTTCTATCAGGTACCCCAGCCTGTGACTCTAAAACTGAAGCATCGCAGGCAATTCGGATCACATTCTCCTGCAGGTTGTGGACTCTGGTCATGGGTTGTAAATATTGCCAAGTTTAAGTGGGGCCAAACTCTGTGCATTTTTTTTGCACAGTGGCAGAAGTAGTGCGTGTGATGTCTGATAAAATGGGAGTCCACCTTGTCATGCTTTACACTTACGCAGTTTGGTAATCATGACACACTTGCTTATATCCATAGGGAGATAATATCAACAACAGTGAGTATTTTAGGAATTACATACGTCCTAGTTTTTCCTTTGTTTCTCACTCAGCATTGCTAAAACTATTATCTGTCTGTTTTATAGGAGAATAAACGGAGGCCGAGAAAGTGGCCTTTCAAGGACAGAAGCTCAAGGAGGTAAATTTTAAACAGGCACACTTGGATTTCATGTCCTTTTTTTCTTTCTTTCTTGAGTCCATTGTAACTTTTTGGCTTTTAAGGATGCTAAGTAGATGAGAGATGAGGGACAGACAGCTGGAATGTCCTGTCACCTGGAAGAAAATGTGTCAGGATTACAGCTGAAGGGTTCCTGGAGGGACAATCTCGGCGTCTAGAGGGCTGGATGGCTCCTGGAGGGACAGCCTCGGGGTGGGGTCTGGAGGACACGAGCAACCATCTCAGTCACTTGCTTTCTTGCAAGCCCTGTTCTGAGCAAGGCAGAAGGGTGGGAAGCTGCTCTTGAGGCTTGCTGACGAGGATGGGCTACAGAGAGAGGCTCTCTTCCGCCCCTTTAAGGAGGACAGTCCCACCGCTCGTGATTGGCAGGTTAAGCTGGGTTTTGAGTTGAGAACTTCGCAAATCCCATTTCACTGAATCTTCACAGCAATTTGAAGGCCACATATTATCTGCTTTTCAAATGAGGAAACCGAAGCTCTGAGAGGCCAATGTCCCCAGAGCACGGCTGAGTATTAGTAGATCGAATATTTTCCTTTGGGCGAATCATTTGGTTCTTCCCCTGTGTTTGATTACCATATAAAATGCAAGTAAGTGTCCAGCACAGGGAATTACTTGGTAAAAATAGTAGAGCCAGGAATGCAGTGAGTACCTGGTAACTAGCAATCATATCTGGTTAACAGGACTTGAACCTCTCGGCATCAGGAAGCGGTCTCCTCACTGGTGTCTTCGTCTCCACATGGGATGGAATTGGAAAGCCTTGCTACTCAGTTATCCATGATGACTTCAGAAGTATGAACATTGGTAGCAAAGGGTCAGTGTAACTAACTCAGCACAGCACATAGCCTGAGATGTGGACATGTTTGGTGGCCCACAAACGACAGCTCACTTCTCCCAGAGGAGCCTGTCTGGCTGGACTTCAAGTCCCAGGCTGGGGTTAAAGAGCCTGGGAAAAGCTGTCATAAAGACCAACAGGGTCTTTACCAGCTGCAGAAGTACTAAAATTTGATTTCTAGAGAAATAACGAGGATACGGGTTAATGAGTTTCAGAACTTCAAATAAGCAAAAGGATTCTTCTGATTCCAGCTACTGGTAGCTCTGCCGTGAGTGAGGAAGAGGCAGGAGGGAGAAACGAGAGTTGAACACTGGGGGGGGGGGCAGTGGCCCCAAAGTACGCTGTCTTAGCCGCTTAGCGCGCTCTCAATCACTGCAAGAAAAAACCATGGGAACCAAGAGAAACCGATCCCGCATGCCCTGAGCCAGAATCTTCCAGCCCTGGTAGCACTTCCTGGGCAGCGCTGTCTCCTCTTTCTGCAGTGTGTCCCCAAGCAGTGGCGCTTGGTTCTGTGCCCAACCTTACGCTGTCCGATGTGTCTTGACCACTTTACTCTTCATCTGAAGGAGACATCAACAGACAGCACGAGCTGTTTGCTAAATCGCCACTGGGTCGAAATCGCTTTTGTTCTGGTGGATGTGGGCATCAGGTGACGTTAGGAAAAGCACTCATCGTAATGACTAAGGCACCTAGGCAAACCCCAGTGGGGTGTGGGCAGCCATCTAGAAAAGGTTTATTTGCTTTTGTTAATGGGCCTCCTCCTGTCTTTACACGCTAGCAGCCAGAGAGAACTCCAAGGAACCCCCAAAGTGGTATTTTGGGTGCTTTTGAGAGCTCCCCCTTACCCTGCTTTCCTTTTTAGACTGTTCTGCATAAGGGGCCAGCCTCCTGCCAAAGGCCTCGTAATGCCGCTCTCAGGAGACCGAATTTATCCACTCAGCTGTCCCTTGTAAATGTATTCCTGTGTGAGACTTTCCCCAAACCGTTCATTCCTCCGCTTAGCTCAGGCAGCTGGAATGCAGGGGGGAAAATACATTTTTTTTTCCTTTTCAAGAATGTGTCTTTTGTGTGTCGGGAGGGGTTGGGCTAAAGAGAAAAACTTCAGACCTGTCTCTCACACACAAACACGCATATATGTATGTATACACAAACATACACTCTGTCTCTAACAGTCCCACTGAGGCAGGGAGGCAGCCCTGGGTTGGAGAGGGATGTTAGGAGGCTCCTTGCATACCAACCAGTGAATATTTTGCAGTGTGGGCTGTGGGTCCTCAGTCTGGGACTGAGCCAGAGAAACACCTCACTGGTTGTTTCCATGGCAACATCACAGTTTCCCTGGAATGGAAAGGTCTGTGATGGGTTAGAGCCAGAATGGGCTTTCTGGCTGCACGTGTGTGCGGTGAGGGGCTTTGGGAGGAGAAGGCACTGGGAAGTTTGACTTAATTTTTCCTTGACTTATTGGGGTCTCCAAGAAGCAGGTGACGCTGGGGGAGGGACTTGAAGGTGACCTATGTGCTTAAGGAATGTGGCTGTCTTTGGGGCAGGCAGAGCCACCCTATAAGCAAGATAGGTGGGAAGGGATGTTGGGTGGCAATCATGTGCATGTATTGATGGGGCAATACTGTGGTCTTTCTCCTCCTGGTACCCAGAGATGGCAGAAGAGTGAAAGATGAGCTTGTCCCATTTTCTGCAAGACTTATGCGCCATGAAACAGTCTCAGGAAGGGCTTCTGGGGTAACATGGCGGAAATAGTGATGATCTTTCCTGTGCTTCTACAACAAAGAAGAGTCAAAAGGCAACAAGAAAAGATATATCCTGACAGATGCAAAACCAAAGACGAAGTGACAAGAAGTTAATAAGCCGAGAGTCGCAGGATGGAAGAGCTGCAATGCAGAAGTCTAGAAGTCCTGCCTGATAGTCCAGCCACAGTCAGAGCAGGGTAACAAGGCCAGCACCTGGGCTCAAGTCGACACCGCAGTGATTGCCGAGGGTTTCTGTCCTGAGGCTTCCACCTGACAGAGAACCCTGCCCTCTCATTGCAGGCAAATAAGGTTTAGAATCAACGCGCCCATACCCACCGTTTTCTGCCTGTCTGATGAATGTACTTTGCAAGTGGAAGCATCACTTTTATCCGCACATCGTAAGCATGTCTGGGAAGCTTGCTGTGGCTGTTCTGACTTTTCACACAAGGGTGTGCCACAGGCCTGGAGGCCTCAGACTACTGTATAACGTAAAGGTTTTAGGAGCGGGTCCTGTTTGTTCTTATAAATTGGGTTGACAGGGCTCAGATAACTGTATGCCATGCCCAGTAAGGGATTAAAGTAAAGGGGAAGAGGCCATACCAGAATATTGACCATGCTGTTTCAATTACAAGGGTGACTGGCAAATCCTAGTCATTCTCATGCCTCTGCCCCACCACGGGTTATTTGTGGGCATTCTTAGCTTTTTATGTAGGTACGGGTATTGAACTCAGGTCCTCATGCTTGTGTAAGAACTCTTACCCTATAAGCGACTTTCCCAGCTCCAAGCCCCTGCCTTTCTAGTGTGCCCCTAGATGTTGCTAATGCTATGGATCCACAAACCACCTTTGAGTACTAAGGGATTTTTCTTTACACTGTGTAGAATGGAAGAATATTTCTATTATTAATCTCCTGCTATTGTCCTTGGGCAAGACAGTAATTTCTGCTTTGAAAGGCTCTTGCTCCAGGGCTCGTCTTCCTACAAACACTAAGCAGTTGAAACACAGTTGTCACTGCCATCGGGTCACCCCGTGCAAAGGACATGCTTGAGGTCATCAGTTGTGTGTTTCTGCAACTGAAGCTCTCAAAGCATCTGACAGCAGGGAGACCTGTATTTGGATCTTTGCTTGCTCGGTTGTAGAGCTATGCAGGATTGGAAGAATTACCTATAAACATGGTTTCATCAGCTATGCGGGCAAATAAGGGCAGCAATTAGTTAATATTAATTATGGTGTGATTGGTTATGAAAAAGCTGAGATATCAGAATCCACGAGGTGCATGCTCATAGGTGTGATCTTTCTAGAAGGGTTTTGTCTGCCTAAAACAGTGTTTAAATAATACTGAGATAATTGCCAACCTCTAGGAATAGTTAAATTTCTCATAAAATTCCCAATTTCAGACTTATATTGAAAAGTCATTATCTTGGGCAAACTTGGCCTGGAGTCCATGCATGGTTAACAGCGATGGGACTAACCGGAGCTGGTGGTATTTATGGGCTCTGCCTCCCCAGTCTAGCATAACCAAGTCCTCTTCCTTTGGGCACCATACTCTTGGGTTTCCATACTTAGGTTTCTTCTGACTCTAGAATTCTAGTTATTTTGGCTCACGTATGTGTAGCAAGGGCTTCTGGGACTCAGTGAGTGGATTCCAGGATTGCCTTTTCAACATGTCTACAGCCCAAGTGAGGAGACTCTGCTTACCTCTTCTTGGCTTCAACAGAGTCATTGTCTTTATTGCTCTCAACAGTTTCCCTGGGGACCAGAGCGTGCTGACTCTAGAATATTCCTTCCTTCATCAACAACCACGAGTCATCTCAGTAGCACGTCTTTCTTGTTCCCTCCCTGAAGTGTAAAGACCTTGTCCTTGAAGCTTGGGTAGGTGCATCCTATGCCCCAGGGTGCTGACATCCCTGTGATTTAAGACCATTGGTACCTTTCTATTGGACTCTTGCAGTTTTGAGACTCCAGAGCTGCCTGGGCCTAGTGCCCAAGAACTGTGCTTTGTGAGTCAATAAAGATGCTGGACTCATGCTGTTGGCTGCTTCCCAAGGTCCTGCTGTGTATAAGGGCCATGATGGGAAGGATGAGTGGCTTCCTTCCCCTCTTCTCGTTACTCTCTTTCATCTCCACCTTACACGCTTAGTTCACTTTACTCACAACTGCAATACAGAGAGGGGGCATAGCATGAGGACAGAATCCCAAAGCCCTGATCTCTGCTTCACAGGTCCTTGGTGGACACGTGACCTTACAGGTGTTCTGTGGACACACCCTATCTGCCATAGATGGGTCTCCACAGGTGAGTGAGCCCTAGAGCATGGGATCTCTGTGTGGTAAGAGAGTTGCACTGCAGGTAGATCAGCTCTTGGATCCATATTGCTGTGTGTGAATTCTGTCCCATTCCTCTACCCTCTTCCTCTAGGGTAAGTTTCTCAGGAGGTTGGTGGTCATGTGGACAGTGAGAAGAAGTGGGATGCTCTCAGAACATGTGACTTCGAAGAATCTCTATATGTGTGTCAAACTGGCCAACATCAAAGAGAAATGCACAGCAAAGTTTTGGTTTTGATGGTTTGTGACTTAAAATCTTTGAGATTCCTGCCAATGCCCCCCTAGGCCATGGGAGTGGCTCAGCAGGCAATTCTCAGCAGATCAGAAGAATGCATGCTTCCAAGCGGAATTAAACTTGCTGTTCCTTAAATTCTTTGAACAATCCAACAGGGGAGCAGGGAACAGTCAAACTTACCTTTCACTTTGTGGAAGATGGACAGCCTGAGCCAATGCATTCACATGCTCACTGATTTAAAGTCCAAGGTTTCCTTCTGGAAGTTGTGTCTGTGCATTCCGTCTGAGTTGTGTACAGCTGTTTGGCATGTTGTCGTCGGGCCCATCCAATGACTGGCTGCATGTGGATCTCAGAGGCTGGAGGCCGACAGGTGAAGAGCCTGTGCAGATTCTCCGATGTCTCTCACGGCCTCAAGAAGCTGGTGAAGGGAAGGCTCTGGCATCCGGCTAAGCCCTGTCCCCGCAGAGTGCAGGCTCCTTCACGCCAGCACGTGTTTCTTCTCACCTCCGATCTGCACCAGGATCACTGGGAGCCTGTCAAGATGCATTCTCAGGGGCTGCCCAGATTCCCAAGGCAGAGGTCTGGAAGAGAGCCAGAGGTGACACTTTGAACAGGCTCCCCAGGTGAGTGTGCTTAACAACCCATCGTCTCAAGCATGCGCTTTAAAAACTCGTGCGGAGAACATTTCTCTTTGCCCAGTTTTAAAACGCCCTTTAATACTCTCATTGATCATAGCGGAGACATTCCAGAGAGAGAACTCCACACCAGGGACCCTCCAGGGCTTGGCCTGGAGGAGACTGGATGTGGGCTTCATAATCCTCTTGCTATTTCTTACTCATCAGGCAGGTGAGCAAGAGCCTCATTACCTGGGCCGC